TCATAAGACTTGTACCACCGTGTACGGTCCTTCCCACTTAGGCGAGAGTTTGTTCCGCCCTGCCTGGTTTTGAACTCGTCGGAGGACGTAATCGCCGATGGCAAGTGTACGAGCTCTGATGCGCTTCTCGTGATATCGGCGTAAGGCCTACTGATACAAGGCTGCTCGGATGGCAACTCGTTCGCGATGCTCCTCGAGTAGATTCACATCGTCGCTTCGCCTTTCCACTTGCTCTTCGTCAGAGTATTTCCGAACTCGTGTACTTTGATGTTGTAGCTCTGTGGGGAGCATGGCTTCTGATACGTACACGAGAAAGAAAGGTGTCTCTTTGTTGGACGAAGTCGGTGTGGTTCGTACAAACCATAGGACCGATTGGAGTTCTTCAGCCCACTTTGTGTCGTAGGCCATGAGCCTATCATACACGTGAGTTTTGATCCCCTGGAGTATGATTCCATTAGCTTGTTTGACTTGTCCATTGCTCTGAGGATGGGATACTGAGGCAAAGCATATTTTGACTCCCAGTTCAATATAGTAATCTTGAAAATCACCGTTGGTGAATTGGGAGCCATTGTCTGTGAGGATGCGGTGAGGCAATCCATATCTGCAGAATATCCCCTTGATGAATTTTATGGCATTGTCGGCTTTGATTTGTTGGCTCTACTTCAATCCACTTAGTGAATTTGTCGATTGCAACAAACAGGAATCTATAGCCGTCTGTCCTCGTGGGATGGCCTGAGGATATCGTGCCCCCAGCATGAGAACAGCCATGTCAGAGGAATAGTCTGAAGCGCTTGTGCTGGCAACTTAGTGTGTTTGCTGAAGAACTGGCAGGCTTCGCATCGTTGCACTATATCACAGGCGTCTTTGAGGGCCGTTGGCCAAAAAAACCTTGTCTAAAGTCCTTTCCAACCAAGGTGCATCCACCGGCGTGCGATTCACAAATGCCTTCGTGGATGTCGAGAAGGAGAGCGTTTCCGTCGTCGAATGATACACACTTGAGGATGATGCCATTCGGGGCCTTTTTGTATAGGTCGTTACCGATCAAACAATATATCTTGGCCTAACAGGATAGTTTCTCTACCTCCGTGTCGTCATCCAGTAGCTCATCTGACTCTAGGAACTTGATAAGCGGGATGCGCTAGTTGTCTGTTGTCTCTATGTTTGCGACGACATATGCGACCTTTGTAGCCCCCGGCCTGTTGTCGGTGTTGGCTGTGGTGCTTTCGTTGTGCATGTCCTTGACAGAAGGCTTTGTAAGGATGTCTAAAAAGGTTCCGGGGTCGAGTGGTTCTCGTCTGGAAGCGCGCCGTGCAAGGTCGTCTGGTTCGATGTTGTCTTTTCAGTAGATATGTCGAACCTCGATCCCGTCGAATCTATGTTACAGCTTTCTAACTTCGACGAGATATTTGGCTAACTCTGGGTTGGAGCACTTGTAGTCTTTGTGTACTTGGTTCACGACTAGCTCGGAATCCCCTTTCATGATTAGTTGCTTTGAGCCAAGCGCAGCAGCTGCTTTTATCTCTACGAGTAGCGCTTTGTATTCGGCCGTGTTATTTGTTGCCCGGAAATTGAGGTGAATTGCGTGCTTGAACTGATCTCCTGTAAGAGATGTCAGGATAAATCCGGTTCCAGCTCCTTGGCTGTTGAGTGCACTGTTGAATGCCATTGTCCAAGTTTCGTTGTCTGTTTGACTGGTCGGTGTGTCATCTGGGATAGTCCAATCGGCTACAAAATCCGCTAAGACTTGTGACTTGATGGCTATTCTGTGCACAAAGTGGACATCAAATTGGCTTAACTCGACTACCCATTTGGCAATGCGGCTGACAACGTGTCACACCCTGAAATTCTTTCCCAAGCCTAAATTGAATTTATAATCCACCAGAGAAAATATCGGTGTAAGAGCAAGAGAAAACCCTAATAAATTAATGCAAATAATAATCGGATTTGGCATGTGGAATTTTTCTTGAGTTTTACATGTCGAAATACGCTAACAAGAATTTTAGCGGAATTCTCAAAGCTCTAGAAATAATTTTAACCAATTAAAATTGAGCACAAGCAATATTTAATCCCAGGAAAATCCATTTTCCTTCTTTTTCCTTTTTCTTTTCTCTTTTTCTTTCAACTGGGCCGCCGGCCCATTCTCTCTTCCCCCCTTCTTTCCGCTGGGCCGGCCGACAGGCCGAGGCCCAGCCGAGCCGGCCGCCTCCCTCTTCTCCCCCGGGGTCGCCAATAGGTGGGGCCCACCTGTCGGGCCCGTCCCCTTCCTCCAGCCGGCGCCGTCGCGCACCGCAACCGCCGCCGCGCCCACGTTCCCGCCTCCTCCAGGCCATGTCGGCCACGCCCGCGCATGCGCCACGTCTCCCGCACCCACTCCCCCTCCCTCTCGCCCGCGCCCGCGCCTGAGACGGCTGGGATTCGAAATGCGAATCCCGCCTCTCTCTCCTCCTCCACCTCCCCACGTCGGCCGGCGATTCCCGCCTCTACCGGCCACGTCCGGGCTCCCCCTCCTCTATTTAAGCACCACCGCCACCCCTCTCTCTTTTTCCCCATCTCGCCGAGCCCTCTCGAGCCCTCTAACGCCCTAGCGCCGTCGCCCTCCTCTTCGCCGCCGCCGCCACCGCTCCGGTCGCCGCTAGCCGCCGCGCCGAGCCGGCCGACGACGCCGTCGCGTTCGCCGTCGTGCGGGCCACCCCGTCCACCCCTCTTCCATTGGATCCCGCCGCCGAAACCCACTCCGTGCCGTTTGCCGGTGAGCACCGCCATGGCCGCCGCCTTCGGCCAGCGTCCTCGCCCTCTTCCAATTCCCTCTCCCTCTCTAACCCCTTCCACCGTGTTCGCTAGGTGGTTCCAGAGATCGTCCCACCGTCGCCGCCGCCCTCCGTTGCTCGCCGTCGTCGGTCGTCGTCGGTGAGGTCCCTCCTCCCCTTCCTCTTTCTCTCTCCCGCGCCGCTAGCCGCCACGCCGCCGCTTAGCCGCTTGGCCGCCGCTTCGCCGCCCGCGTCGCCGCGATGCCGTCGCCCTCCGCCGCCGGCCGGTCGCCGTCTCGCGCCGCCGCCGCATGCGCGCCGCTAGCCGCCGCGCGCCATGGCCGCCGGGCCGGCTTGAGCCGTGCCCGCGCACGCCGGCCGCGAGCCACACCCGCCGTCCAATCTACCCTTGGGTAGATCGGGGTCGTCCGTACGGCCGCCCACGTGGCTGCCGCGTGGCCGCTGCGTCGGCGCCACGTCAGAGCCACGTGGTGCGTCGTCCTTTCCCGGTTCGTGGACTCGGTCCACCGCGGACCGCCCTCCTCGAGTCACTGCCATGTGGGGCCCGCATGTCGGCGCCGCCCCCTCTCTCTCCCGGGATTTATTTATTGCGCAATAATTCAATTAAGGATTTTTCTGTTTATAGTAAAAACACAGTGAATCTTCTAAAATTCATATCTAATTCATCCGAGCTCCGTTTAAGCCCATTCATGTCTCAGTAAATCAAGAAAAATGTGTAGAATCCATTAAAAATGGTTTTGTTCTCTGTTTCAGTAGTCTTATAGCTTGTTTGTATTGTTTGCTTTGTATGTCGCTTAGATTTCGGCTCTCCCGACGCTCTGGTGTACCTTGAAATAGTCGCCGAAGTTCCTTCAGCTGCAGAGCAAGGCAAGTCATGCTTGTCACTTGAACATGTTGATCCTATATTGCAAATGCTCCATTGTTTTTCTTCAAATACTGCATTGTTTTATAATATCACCATGGGATGTTTACCTACTGTCATAGCCATGCTATCTTGTACCATGTTCCTTTGTTAGCTTGGGATATAACATGACTAGAGATTGGACTAGGGAATGCTTAGCTTTGCTTAGTTCAACTAGCACACAATGGGGAACTACATTAAATGCATAGATATCAGATTCTAGGATTGATGTTGGTTAATGCTCACCACTCCGGTGTTGGTTAATTAATTAATATTAAATGGTGGGCCGTGGATGCATGGTTTTGATGGTCGCGCCCAGGACCATTAAGGACCGGTTCGCGGGAAACCCTAGAAGAATTCCTCGTACTTACCACAAGCCAGCGTGGGCAACGGCTGGGCTTATAGTGTAGCTTTCCTCTAGCCGACGCATCCAGGCAAGGGTGGGCATGATGGAGTTTGGATGGGCCCTGCGACAGCCTATGCGGCTTCCGGATTCACCTAGGCACGAGAGGGGACTGCCCGCTGCCTTGCAAGGAGTGGGGGTGAAACCTGAGGTGTGGTGTGCTTGGTTAGAGGGGGTTATGCGAAGGGTCCTATCACGGCCTCTTTCCGGTATGTCGTGGTGGCATGTCGGCGCACGGAAACGTGTCATGGGGCTATGTCTTGTGGGTACAGTTGTACACCTCTGATCAGAGTAAAACTATTTGAATAGCTGTGCCCGCGGTTATGGGTGGTCAACTATTTGGACAGTGGATGATTAATATTGATTAATTATTACAACTGTTTTACTGCTTTCAACTTCTGTTTATAAATGCCCGCTTTATGCAAACGAACCATTATAGCTATCCCTTGATAATTCCCTGCATCATACCCCTATTCCGGTATGACTTGCTGAGTACAGTGGGTAGTACTCAGTCTTGCTCTATTTTCCCCAAACCCCAGAGTTTGAGTATGCGTCAGATGGTGATTTCTCCGAGGAGTAGGCTTCATCCGTGCCGTCGAGGATGCCTGTGGAGTGGTGTTCCCGTTGCAGATCAAGTCAAGGCTTAGCTCTAGTTATCTTTTGTTTTTCCACTGCATTTATGTAAGACTGTTATAATGTTTGTAAGACGTGGATCTGTATGGCAACTTTGTCGTTTGTGTACCTCGGCCGGTCCTGGACGGGGATTTTAATGCATATTCTGCTTGGAATTCTATTCGGGAATTTCTGGGCCGTAGGACAAGCCAAATGGAAAAACCTAAGAGCCCTCTGAATCCTTTTCATTGCATATGTTCTTTGCAATTGGATTAGTTCTAGGAAAATTGGGATCTGTTCTTGTGGTGCAAGGGAAAATTTTGGTCGCCCGTTTAAGTGGGATTTGCCAAACCAGGTCAGTCTAGGCTTTTAGTAAAATTACTTGGGATTTATTCGACAGTCAGTCGGGATTTGATGGGAGGAATGCATTAGGTCCTAACTCAGGAATATGGGTTGCAAGGTATTTATGCTCTTATTATTATTAGTATGTATCTAATTTTCTCATTATTTTATCGCTATGTAAGTTCGTCTTATTTATTCGCCTTCATGCAAAAATGATCTATGCATAAAATTCCACTCTTATTCGCTTATTTTAATTGAGTCTTTTACTCTTTCATTTAAATTGGATTTGAGCATGCATTGATCCTACCCCTTTGTCTTCTCTAGATGGCCGATCACCCACCCAACCATCGCGGAGAAGGCATGGATGACTTTGTGGCAGAGTTGGCTCGCATGACACTGGTGGTGGGCTACCCCAATGCGCCAGAGTATTCGACTGTTCCACCGCTCAGTGGCGAGTTCCCTCACCGTGTTCGCCTGGAGGTTCATGGCTATGTGCATACCTGCCTCGCTAACATGGTGGTTGAGGCATCCGGAGGCACAGCAGATCACGCCTGTCAGGAGGCAGCATACCTGATGATGGCCAGATTACGGGAGCGCCACAACTACATCTTCTGCAACACGGCGTACCGGTTTCACCCTCGTCAAGCAAGTGGCGACGACGTCAGCACCTTCCGTTCGACAGCCGGCGAGAACGACACCACCTTTGGTCATATGTGTGCCGTGATGAGGGGAATGGACAGGATGCACTCGGATCTGCGCAAGGCATCCAGGGCCTTGAATGACGGGAAGCTCGTGAGGATCATAGCTCTGAAGGATGAGATCGCACGCCTGAAGAAGGATGAGATCGCACGCCTAAAGAAGGAGAATGCTCAGTTGAAGAATCCGCAACACGCCCCGCAAGTCGACGACGGCACCCGTGCGCATTCAGCTTGCGCCCAGGAACCCACCTCCGCCCGCAGTTCCCGCAGCTCCTGCAGCTCCAGCTCCAGTCCCAGCTCCTGTCCCAGTGTCAGCTCCCGCGTCCGCTCTCTCCTTCGCTCCAGCATTAGCCGCCAGGGGTCCAGCCAGTGGCAACGGGGGTTGGTTGCCTGCTACTCCCAGTGGCAGCCGCGACCACAGCAGCAGCAGTTCCAGTGGCTCGGAGCCGGGCAGCGGCGAGATGTATCTGCCAAACTCCAGGAGCCGCTCAGAGGGACGTGGTGACGAGCAGGAGGACGCCCTCGACTCCACCGACCGCAGGAGCCGTTCCGAGTATTAGGCTCGCTTTCCCTTAGTTTATCGACTGCTTAGTTTTTGTCTGCTAGTTTGTGTGTTTAGGTCTGTTCGCTTGGGGGTCAGTCGATGGTCAATATCATGTGCCTATGATATGGCTGTCATAATAAGGATTTGCCTGCTGTTTTAAGTATTTTAATTCAGATCAGAACAATTGCAGTTTAAATTCCTATATAATAAAGCTTAGTTCCTGAGCACCTGTTTCTCTTCTTTCCCCCCCCCCTCCGTCCGCTCTTCCTCCAGATGGTCTACACCAGGAATGGTAGCCGTACAGCAGGCGAGGGCAGCAACGGCGAAGAACGCATTGATGGTGTGCATCCCAACAGCGACTCCGGCAATGGTCCGCCACTGCTCCCCGAGAATCCGACTCTGGCCCAAGTAATGGCTCATCAGACTCAGATGATGGCAGCCATGATGCAACAGATGCAGCACCAGCACCAGCAGATGCACCAGAGGATGCAGTAGCAAGCCGAGCAGCAACAGCAATAGTTTGGTCCCCCTCCCCCTCAGTCCAAACTGCCGGAGTTTCTACACGTCAGGCCACCCACCTTCTCTAGCACCACCAACCCCATGGAGGCGAATGACTGGCTCCATGCCATTGAGAAGAAGCTAAATCTCCTGCAGTGCAATGATCAGGAGAAGGTCGCCTTCGCCACACACCAGCTCCAGGGTCCCGCGTCAGCTTGGTGGGACAATCACATGGCTACCCGCCCGCCAGGCACGGAAGTCACTTGGGCGGAGTTCTGTCGCAACTTCAGGAAGGCGCAGGTGCCAGACGGGGTTGTGGCACAGAAGAAAAGGGAGTTCCAGGCACTCCACCAGGGCAACAGGACAGTGACTGAGTATCTCCATGAGTTCAATCGGCTAGCGCGATATGCATCGGAGGATGTCCGCACTGACGCCGAGAAGCAGGAGAAATTCCTAGCAGGCCTAGATGACGAGCTGACCAACCAGTTAATCTCTGGAGGCTACGCCGATTTTGAGAAGCTGGTTGACAAAGCAATCCATCAGGAGGATCAGTGCAACAAAATGGACAGGAAGAGAAAGGCAGCGCAATTCCGGTCCAACCAAGGAAGCCACCCGCGACCGCGCTTCACTCCCAGACAGCAAAGTGGACCTACCACCATGATCGTCCGCCAGCACCGCCCTTTCAACTCGAGCAGCTTCCACCAGGGCGCCAGTGGCAGCCAGAACCACCATGGAGGTCAGCCCAACCGCAGAGCAGCTCCGCGCCCACCAATAACACCAGCACAGTCAGCTCCATCCGCCCAAGCCAAGAAGGAGACTGGAACAAAGCCAGGGTCCTGCTTCAACTGTGGCGAGCTTGGCCACTTTGCTGACAAATGCCCGAAGCCAAGGCGTGTCGGGCCAAGGTTTGTCCAGGCTCGTGACAACCACGCGTCCGCAGAGGAGGCGCGAGCAGCACCAGAGGTTGTACTGGGTACGTTTTCTGTCAACTCAGTCCCTGCTACAGTACTTTTTGATTCTGGTGCAACGCATTCTTTCATTTCAAAGAAATTTGTGGGGATGCATGGGTTAAGAAAAGAAAAGCTTAGTACACCAATGAGGGTTCATACCCCAGGAAATAGTTCAACCTCGGTCAGTTATAGCCCTTCAGTGCTAATAGAAATTCAAATATCACCATTTCTAGCCAACCTCATCCTTCTCGAATCCAAAGACTTAGATGTCATTCTTGGGATGGATTGGCTGACCAAGTTCAAGGGAGTCATTGATTGTGCGAATCGCACAGTCACCTTGACCAATGAGAAGGGAGAGACCGTGGTGTACATGTCACCAGTCTCACCAAAGCAGAGAATCTCCTTAAACCAGATTGAAGTGGAAAACCCTGTGACCACCGAGCAGAAGGGTTTGCAGAAATTGGAGGATATCCCCATAGTCTGCGAGTATCCCGAAGTGTTCCTTGAAGACCTCACTACCATGCCACCCAAGAGAGAACTTGAATTCCGGATTGATTTGGCACCAGGAACTGCCCCAATTTACAAGAAACCGTACAGAATGGCAACCAACAAGCTAGCACAGGTCAAGAAGCAGGTTGATGAGCAGCTGCAGAAAGGGTACATTCGACCAAGTACTTTACCTTGGGGTGCTCCGGTCATTTTTGTGGAGAAGAAGGATAAGACGAAAAGAATGTGCGTCGATTATCGCGCACTCAATGAGGTCACAATCAAGAACAAATATCCTTTGCCGCGGATTGATGATTTGTTCGACCAACTAAAAGGGGCTAAAGTGTTTTCTAAAATCGACCTGCGATCAGGCTATCACCAGTTGAGAATCCGGGAAGAGGATATTCCCAAGACAGCCTTCACCACTCGATATGGGTTGTACGAGTGCACGGTGATGTCTTTTAGACTTACCAATGCACCCGCATTCTTCATGAACCTGATGAACAAAGTGTTCATGGAATTTCTGGATAAGTTTGTGGTGGTATTCATCGACGACATTCTTATCTATTCCAAATCGGAAGAAGAACATGAACGACATCTCCATCTGGTACTCGAGAAGTTGCAGGAACACCAGTTATATGCCAAGTTCAGTAAATGCGACTTTTGGCTATTGGAAGTCAAATTCTTGGGTCACGTCATTACAGCTCAGTGCGTGGCAATCGATCCGTCGAATGTGGAGTCAGTTACCAAGTGGACCCCACCTAAGACCGTGTCACAGATTAGAAGTTTTCTTGGACTCGCGGGTTATTACCGTCGGTTCATTGAAAATTTCTCTAGGATCGCCAGACCCATGACTCAGTTGCTTAAGAAAAATGAGAAATTTAAATGGACAGCTGAGTGTGACCAGAGTTTTGAGAAGCTCAAAAAGAAATTAGTAACCGCCCCAGTTCTGATTCTGCCCGACCAGACTAAAGACTTCCAAGTCTACTACGACGCGTCCCGCCACGGGCTTGGATGTGTTCTAATGCAAGAGGGCAGAGTGGTCGCTTATGCCTCGCGGCAGTTGCGTCCACATGAAGGGAACTATCCAACTCATGACCTGGAATTGGCAGCGGTGGTACATGCTTTGAAGATCTGGAGGCACTATCTGATTGGCAACCGTTGCGAAGTATATACGGATCACAAGAGTCTGAAGTATATCTTCACCCAACTGGATCTAAATCTCCGACAACGAAGATGGTTGGAGTTAATCAAAGATTATGACATGAGCATTCATTACCATCCGGGTAAAGCCAATGTGGTGGCAGATGCATTAAGCAGGAAGAGCTACTGCAATGCCCTATGCACCGAGGGCATGTGTAAAGAATTGCAGCAGGAGCTTGAACACCTCAACTTGGGGCTTGTAGAATACGGGTACGTGGCTGTCCTCGAGGCACGACCTACACTCGTGGATCAAGTCAGAGCAGCTCAAGTAAATGATCCTGAAATAGCAGAGCTGAAAAAGAACATGAGGGTCGGAAAAGCCCAGGATTTTCACGAAGATGAACACGGCACAATCTGGTTTGGAGAAAGATTATGTGTACCGGACGATAAGGAACTAAAGGATTTGATACTCACCGAGGCTCATCAGACTCAGTACTCCATTCATCCAGGCAGCACCAAAATGTACCAAGACCTCAAAGAAAAGTTCTGGTAGGTCAGCATGAGAAGGGAAATAGCTGAATTCGTCGCACTCTGCGACTTTTGCCAACGAGTGAAGGCAGAGCACCAAAGGCCAGCAGGTTTACTCCAGCCTCTTCAGATCCCGGAATGGAAATGGGAGGAGATTGGAATGGACTTTATAACAGGACTGCCCTGGACATCATCTGGCCACGATTCAATCTAGGTAGTCGTGGATCGACTCACTAAAGTTGCTCATTTCATTCCAGTGCATACCACATATACGGGGAAGAAATTGGCAGAGCTGTACCTGACAAGGATCATGTGTCTGCATGGGGTACCCAAGAAGATTGTATCTGATCGAGGGAGTCAGTTCACCTCAAAATTTTGGTAGAAGCTGCAGGAAGAATTGGGGACCCGTTTGAATTTTAGCACAGCCTACCATCCACAGACAGATGGCCAGACCGAGAGGGTCAACCAGATCTTAGAGGATATGCTACGGGCTTGTGCGCTTGATTTTGGTGGAGCATGGGATAAAAGCCTGCCTTATGCGGAATTCTCGTACAACAACAGCTATCAGGCCAGTCTATGGCACCGTTCGAAGCGTTGTATGGCCGGAAGTGTCGCACACCTCTCTTCTGGAATCAAACAGGCGAACGTCAACTGTTCGGAACAGAGGTGTTAACGGAAGCAGAAGAGAAAGTTAGAACCGTCAGAGAGAGGTTGAGAATTGCCCAGTCTCGACAGAAGAGCTATGCGGACAACCGCCGAAGGGAACTCACTTTTGAAGCAGGGGATTACATGTATCTCCGTGTTACTCCGCTCCGGGGAGTACACCGTTTCCAGACAAAAGGTAAGTTGGCACCACGCTTCGTGGGACCATACAAAATCTTGGAACGAAGAGGAGAAGTGGCTTATCAGCTAGAACTTCCATCCAACATGATCGGTATCCATGACGTGTTCCACGTGTCCCAGTTAAAGAAGTGTCTAAGGGTACTCGAAGAACAAGCCGATTCGGAGCACATTGACATCCAAGAAGATCTGACCTACGTGGAGAAGCCAGTTCGTATCCTTGAGACCAGTGAAAGGAGGACTAGGAATAAGGTCACCAGGTTCTGCAGGGTTCAGTGGAGCCATCACTCAGATGAATAAGCAACCTGGGAAAGGGAAGATGAGCTAAAGGCCGCCCATCCGCACCTCTTCACCAGCTCCTCCGAATCTCGGGGTCGAGATTCCGTTAAAGGGGGGTAGGTTTGTCACACCCTGAAGTTCTTTCCCAAGCCTAAATTGAATTTATAATCCACCAGAGAAAATACCGGTGTAAGAGCAAGAGAAAACCCTAATAAATTAATGCAAATAATAATCGGATTTGGCATGTGGAATTTTTCTTGAGTTCTACATGTCGAAAAACGCTAACAAGATTTTTAGTGGAATTCTCATAACTCTAGAAATAATTTTAACCGATTAAAATTGAGCACAAGCAATATTTAATCCCAGGAAAATCCATTTTCCTTCTTTTTCCTTTTTCTTTTCTCTTTTTCTTTCAATTGGGCCGCCGGCCCATTCTCTCTTTCCCCCCCTTCTTTCCGCTGGGCCGGCCGACAGGCCGACGCCCAGCCGAGCCGGCCGACAGG